CTAGAATTCTCTTTAGTACCAAAATATCTAAGTAATTCCTCCCCGAATCCCCATGTCATCCAAGTAAAAAAGTATCAAAGAATATGTATCCTTATCAGCAAAGAGGTGCCTTCATAAGAGCAATGCTCTATGAACATCAATAAAGCAGCTCCTGTAGAAGAAATTTTAAAAGGGATTCCAACAGAAGTATAGAGAGTGTTTAACCTCTGATTATTTTGTCGATACAAGACCCTCATCACAGTTTAATTTCTTCACAGTTTGAGATTAGAAGAAGGGGAAGGACTATAAAAATATTTTGTTTCATGCAAACATTTGGAGTCCTCTGCCCCTTGATGGCTAGTGGTTTCCAAAAGCATGTTACCTATCTGATTTTTAAAATTTATACTTTCCCTTCTGGACAAATGTGGCAACAATAACTGAGCACATTATTGCTTTCAATAGACTTGGGTCAGGGCAAGAACATTTATATTTCACAGTGCTGTTTTTTTTTTTCCTAAAACGATTAAAATAGAAACATGTCACATAGTTTTACATATTTTCACTCTTACAAATGATGGAAATAGAATTTTCCTTTCTGTGTAAATATCTTTCAGATGAATTGTTCTGAAACCATGCTGTTATCTTTTGCTGAAAATTTCTAAATGTTCTTTCTTCTAGTTTTTTGGGGAAACTAGTCAAAACCAAAGAAAATGGACATTGATTAGTGAAATTACTTTTTGAAAATCTTGGTATAAATTCTGATGAAACTGGAAAATAAGGGTTAGAATTTAAAAACTTCAGTCAATTGAATAGTTTTCTACCATTAGCTTTAATTGTTGTGAGGTTTTATTTTTTATTAAATTCCATTTTTAAAACCAGACTTTTGAATCACTGTATCACAAGGTTCAACAAGAAATATAGAATGGTCCTATTGCTACCATCTCTACTATTAGTAAAGCAGTAAATTTTAATAATTTTTAACTTTATATTTTATTTTTAATTTAATAAAAGATAAATATATACGTATTGGGATACATGTGTGAATGCTTTTCTTTTTATTGACAGTGATAAAAACTTCAGTATGTTTAGTACTAACCAATAATTAGTATTATAAACAAAAGTTTGTGATTTGACTTTAAAACAGCCAAGAAAATTTCTCTAGTTTTCCTTACAAAAGATTATTTAAGTAAACAATTGTTTTAGCATAAAGTAAGAAAAACAGAGAAAAATGTCACTCAGCTCCCCATAGTCACTATTGAAACCACAGTGTAGATGCTTCTAGATGATGTAATGAATGCACATCTATTTCCCTTTCATCAACAGAAGCTTATCCTCCATTTAAAACTGTTTCTGTAGGGGGCCCTTATGCCTTACAGAATTATTTAAAATAAGATTTAAATAACTTTTGGACAGAGTAAAAATGTAAAGGAATTTTCCAAGTGTGTAAATCATCCTTAAATCTAACTTTGTTTTGATGTGATCCAAGACTGCTCTCCACAAGCCACCTGGAGAAGGATGGTAACACTGGTCTCACAGACTCCACTGTTTGTCATTTTAATTGTCTTTATCTAGATAGTAAATGTGTGGCTTGACAACAAAGAGAAGTTATCAAGGAACAGTCTCACCAAACTTTGTGGTTTTCGGCTTGATTTATCTTCATATGGCCTATGTAGCCAAGCAGCTAGAATAAGGGAACCAAGAGTTTGGCAAGGAAGCTTTTGCTTCTGTTCAGCACTGTAACTGTGCCTCAGAGTGAGAAAACATAGTTTTAGAATTATTAGCTCTGTGCAACAAGATAGAGAACTGAACCCAGACAGTGACTCTCAGTGGAGTCATGGTATCTTCAAATTCAAGTAAGCTGTCATTTAGAGGTGTGGTCTTGGACTCCATCTCATGTAACATTTTTTTATGAATGACTAATATTAGAAAAAAATTCATTGACACAATAAACGAAACCTAACTGGGAAATGAAAACTAAGAAGAGGAAGTCATATTCACAGTGACTAGATCAGAATCAAAATAAAATTACAGAAGTAGTAAGATGTAAACAAAATGACTAAGTCTTTGGGGTGGGTCAAAACAAGGGAAAAAAACAAGTTCCAAGGGAAACTTTTAACAAATAGCACAAAAAACAATCAGCTTAAAAAAACATAGCCTATGCTCTGGGGTCAACTATAATTGATATTATTTAGAAACCAAAACTAATATATAATGTATTCCTTATTGTAACTCACCAAAAAATTCCCCATTCCTAGTTGAGTGCCAATGCAAACATTTAGACCTTGTTTTTTTGATCAGAAATGCTTTCCACTTTAAGAATACATGTGAAGAACATAACTCACGTAAATGGCTGAAGTAGTAAAAGGAAACAAACAGTATCATTCATTGCTAAATTGAAAGATGAGTGTGTGTGTGTGTGTGTGTGTGTGTGTGTGTGTGTGTGTGTGTGTGTGTCCCCTTGAAGAGATAGAGTAAATAATACTGGTCTTCAAATAAGAACACACAGTTACAAAGATAATAGATTCAGAAGTTCCTCAACTAAAATGGACCAGTTGTACTTACTTTTGGGAAATACTGAACAAGAAAAGGAAGTTAAAACAGGTTAGGAAATAATTTAAAATAGGTGAGGATAAACAATAGCACTAAAAGGATCATTTGAAAATCTGGTAGAATTTTCATTGACAGATTTCTACTCTTTTGTTTTTAGTGATGGTGATGTAGGAAGGGATGAAAGATAAAAATTTAAATGTCCTGGCCAGACCTCAAGCTTTGTGGTTGTCGCCTGAGTCAGGAAATAGAGTAAATAGCTTCCACTGAGACTTGAAAGCTATAAAAAAGGAAGCAAGCTTGCTATTATCAAAGCTTGTACTGATAGTGTCAGGAAATATTTCTTTAGAGCACTTATAACTGTGTTAGATCCTTAAATCTAAGTGCAGCAGCAGATGCCAGAATGCAGACCTCATACTGAGGAACCTGGAATGTGTAGACGTGGGATAGTCCCCAAGAAAGCAGCGATCCGAGTTCATTTTCCTGATGTTCTTTTATTTTTCTTTTAAAAACTTGTACTTCAACAACTGTCCTCGGTCAACTATCATTTAAAAGGTGTAGGTGAGCTAGCAAGAACAAAAAATGCAGGTGTGATCCCACAATTGAGAGAGAGGAATAGCAGTTCACATTCCGATACACACCTTGGATTTTTTTCTACATACATGTATGTAAAACAACCTTACAATGGATTCTTTTAATTGTATATGTATTTCAAACATTTATTAATACAGGAAATTTATTAATACAGTATTTGTATGATACTAGGTACTAGCTTACCTAGTATCATAAACGATTAGTACAGTGGATCAACAGTTATTTTAAATGCTACTACATTTGCATAAATTGCACCTTTGGGCTTTTGTTTGCAATTATTCACTCTTATGAACAAGGGGAGTTTCTCCAATATTTTTCTTTTTCTTGGTGTTTTTGGAGGGATTATGTTTTTGTTTGCTTGTTTTGTTTTTATTTAGAACATTATAACAGTGAAGGAATCGAAGGTGTTTACTCCTCCAACAGATATTTTGGTTTTGACATTTGTAGTACAAGAGAAAAGGTAAGGTAAGATCTCCACTTTCACCTAACTTTTAAGTCTGGAGTAGAGAGATGAGGAATTCGAGGAGACAAAAACACCCTCATTTAAGTAAGCTAGTTTAAGAGAGTTGTGGGTTCAGGGCTAAATGAGTACGTAACAAACCGCTTCCAGAAACCCGTACAACTAATAATTGTTACTTGTATGCATTAAAAACAAACAAACCTATCCACGAGGACGTCTGCATTAGCCAGTGATGGAGGAGTAACAGAAAACCAGGACGGGACGCCCAACCTCCTCCCCGGGACTCCGGGCGGGAAGGAAACCCTCCTCGGGGCCTCCTGGCGCTGGCGCACACGCCCAGGAACGGTCCCGCGCAGGGACGACCGCCCTGCACGCCCGCTTCTGCACTCCTCACACGTCCGATCCCCGGCGGCCCGAAAGCAAACCTCCTCCACCCCGTCGCCTGCTCTCGGGAAAACCTCCGGGCCGCCCGCCGAGGGCGGCTTCGCCTAAGATCAAGCGCGGAGCCGCTGAGCTCCACGGTCAGAAGCGTGGGTGGCCAACAAACTTTGTGCTACGTGTGTGCACTTGGGAGAACCACCGCGGTTCTGGGAAGGGATCAAAGCGACCTTCCCAAACCGTGCGCAGCGCTTCTTCCCCCCCACCCCACCCCCGAACCCCCTTTTTATTTTAAAGAAAAATAATTCTAGCCGATGAGTCAGGAAACGGGCTTTAAAGACACCGCGGGGAGTGCAGCGGGGAGGAGGAGTTCAGCAGGTGGCC